GCGGGCCTCGGCCGCCGCAGCGAGGTGCTAACTCGGGGCGGTGGGTGGGTTTTGGCGTGTGGGAGAGCTGGGCTGGGGCAGGGCTGGCCCGGCGCGGGTTCCTGCTGCCCCTGGGGTTCGGGAGCCCGGCGGGCAACGGTCCAGTTTGGCTCGTTAGAAAGAGTGGCTTAATGCTGAAGTCCCTGACAGCTCTGTGCTACTCTAAAAAAAATACAGCCCGAAACAAACAGCTAACAAACGTCCACAGCGTCTCTCCTCGAAGTCAGTCATTCTTCAGGTCCGAAAGACTGCTGCCCTCTTCCATTGCGATGTGGTGTGTGTGTGAGTGTGAGACGAGTGGAGAAATCTGAGCACAGCGTTAAGATCTTGTTTGTCAACTATGTCACAAAACTCCTAAGTTTCTCTTGGGCACTCCTGCAGTAATACCTTCTTGCCACAAGATACAGCAGTATTTCCGACTCTTGTGGGAATGCATTGTTTCATCCTCCTCTTGAGCTAAAACTGAGGTTCTCTATTTGAACAATAATCTGGTGAGGAGGGAAAAAAAACCTGCCCTGACAGTAACAGCCCCCTACCCACTGCTGTAAGTCTGCGCTAAAAGCGTGGGCTACAACAAACCTTATTGGTGAGACCGCTTGAGGTTTCAGCACACGTGTCTGGGTGCTGTCATGTGGTGGTGACAAAGCTGGCTCTTACCAGTGGCACTTGGAGAGCTTTTATTTGCTGTGGGTATGTGAAGGGATGGGAGAGCTGGACTTCTTTTGTACAATCTGTAGTTCAAAAGAAAAACCCCACAATCCTAAAAACCTGTGTCAAAATAAAAGAAAAAAAGTATTTTTTGGTCAAACATTGATTTAAGGAATCTTCATTTAAAAGTGCAATTTGAAAGAGATGATGCTAATTTATAAAGATACTGGTAGCTCAGCTATGCTTGTTTGAGTGATCCAAATGCTTTTATTTTAGAAATACGTGTTACTCAGGAGGCTACAGTAGCTAACAAATCTTGACCCATACCTTACCTTTTCCATAAATGTGTGTGTTCTGTAGTTTGCTTGAGAACTTCTGACGTTGGGGCTTACTACAGTGAAGTTGTGTGTGTGTTTTTTTGTTTTAAATGGTAAGTTTTGAGTGAGAGCTTACTGTCCGCTTAGCAACACTAAATGCAAAGTTTCACTTTTTTTTCTTTTTTGGTCCCAGTTATTTCCACTGATCCCTGCTGTTTCCTGAAGCTTCCTGTTTTGTTCCTTTTTTTCGTATTTAAACCAAAGGCAGAGCATGTTCCTGTTTTCTCTTCTTTTCTCATCTGCTCTAGTGCTTTATCTCTGACTTTTACTCCCCTTTTAATCCTTTATTGATGCCCTAGTGGCCCTGCATTTTCCAGTTTCCAGAGGTTGCTTAAGTTTAATATTACCAATACAGTGGTCTTGGAAGTGACAGGAAATGCATGAAATTGTAAAACCCTCCACTGTAACAGTCATGGATATGGAGTTCTGCTCCTATCTTTGTTAAGGAGATTTTTTTTTTTTTTGTGATCTCAGGTTATTTAAGATTACTACCCTGTTCCTCACTGCTTCTGTTTGAAGAGACTGATGCCTGCTATAAATCTAATCAAGTTAAAACCTGCATTTTTTTAAGAGACATAATTAAGTTGTCAGTTACTGCAAGCTTCCTCTGGGCGTTTCTCAGTAATATGACTTCATCACAAGATATAGGCAGAATGTTCTTGCATGCCTTCAGCATGGTAGGGTGCTTCATCTAAAAATAAGGGTAGTGCTAGAGGTCAGTAGGTGGAAAAGCAGTATCAAACCCATAGTTAGGAGTTTTTGGGTTTTGTTTTTTTTTTTTTTTTCCTTTTCACATGCTCATGGTATTTCCTGAATTGTAGAGGACTTCAGTAGCTGGGCCTTGGGTTTTCTGATCATCTCTGAAGCAAGATCCTGAACTCTTGAGCCAATGGGCTGGTGTCTGTCTTTAGACTATGAACTGAACAGATCAGTTTTAAAAATAGTGGGGGGAAAAAACCCACCCCTTTTTAATGTAATTCTGTGCACAAATTCCAGGTTAAGATCGCAGCTGCCAGAACTGTTGATAGTTGAGTGCAGTGTCCCAGAGTAGTGGTTCCTACTGTTTGGAATTCTGCTGTCCTTTTTCTGCTTTGTCTTTTTCTTCCTCATTATGTTTCTTCCAGCTCTTAGAGAAGCTGCTACACAGCTAGCAAAGGATATTTCTCTGTTAGAGAGGGATTTGTTTCTTATCAATATGTAACTGATCTTTTAATGAAATATTGAAGAGTCCAAGCTCCGTTTTCCTTCTTGTAATGCTTGTCAGACCCCCTTCCCCAAAATAAATGCTACTTTATTAATTGGCTGATGTTTATTTTCTTTTCAGTGGACTCATTGGTTGCAGCTGGGCCATGGTGTTTGCTGCTGGAGGCTTAAAAGTGAAACTTTATGATATTGCACAACAACAGCTAACAAGTGCACTGGAAAACATTCGGTAGGTCACCTGACTTGAAATGACCAGGACTGTAATGAAACTGTGGCATTTCTGTAATCATGAATGTACAGCACCATCTTACTATTTAAGGGAACATAAGTTTTAAGCTTTGAAGAAGGCTTTAGCATGGAAGTATAGGTCCTGTTAAGATCAGAACTGTGTTCCAAATGACACTTCTGAAGAGCACTTTAATTCTTAAGTAATGATTTAAGAGCTTAAGTTTAGATCCATATTCTTGAAATGATGTTTACCATGATATAGGTTAAGCTTAAAATGCATGAACTGAAGAGTTTTTGCATAAAAAGACAACAGATACTTTCAAAATGGAAGTAGGTTAATATGGATTGCTGAGGAGCCCTACTGCAATTATTAGTATTTTATAACTAGAATTTTTAAAATTCTTAAACTAATATTTTTTGAGTCTTAAAGGAATGAATTGCTAGTTCCACTAATAATGCAACAACTGATCAATTATAGTAGAGACTGGGAAGCATCTTTAGAAAGAGCTAATTTGAGAGTGTGAACACAAGAACAGTCACACCGGTTCCTCCACCAATCCTCCAGCCCTTTACTGTATTGCTCTGTGGCGCTACGGCTAAAACCATGTGCTTTTGGTACATGACAGAGCTACAAGTTCAAGTCCTGCCTGTCTGTTCCCCTCCCCCAACCTTCAGTGCCTGGAAATTGTGTGTGTATTCAGTAACTCTAACTAGATTTCTTCCAAGTGTTTCTCTAACCTTCCCTTGAACCTGTGTAAATCCTTTTGCAGCCTTCTTGCCAAAGGACTTTGTGTTCTGCAGGTTTACGGCTCACTGTGTGAAGAGCTATTCCCTTTTGTTTGTTTTCAGACTGGGTCCTCAGTTGCTCTGTTTGGCCCCTAGTTCTTATGTTAGAAGGGACAGTGTCTGGTTGGTTCTATTCACCCTCTTCTTGCTGGATCTGAAATAGTAGCTTTTTATATGGCTTTGAGAGACATTGTATTTATAGAGTGGTTCTGTAAACAATCTTAGGTTTCTGTATCAGCATTTAATTCTGAAGCACAGGTTGCTTCATGATCAGCATCAGCCTAAATGCGTCAACCCTCCCTTCATGGTGCCTTGGAGTGAAATACATCAGCTGCACCTAAAAAAGGGTTGTGGTGTGTTGTATCCTGACTGCCTTTTGTAACGAGGCTTACACCAAGGAGGAGAGATGTCAGGAGCCCCTTGTAAGTCAGTTCAGTTGCTGGAGGTTAGAAGTTAAACGGTATGTGGTATCTAGTGAGACTTGCTAAAAAGGCTTAGTAACAAGAGAGGGGAAAATCTATCTCTTACAATTTTTTAATTTTTTTTTTGTTTTTTTATTTCCCCCAACCTCTCTTCCCAAGTAGGTGTTAATCAGACCAAACACCTCTGTTGCTACACCTAGATGACAGACACTTGTTTTTTACAGAATTGGTGCCATAGCGATAGCCACGATGAGATTCTGGATTATTGTGGAGGGGGAAGTTTTACAGTCTGCATTACTGAAGAGAGCACTCGCCCCTAATTATTTCTTTCTCTAATAGTGGAACGAGGACTTTACCCTTCTAAGGTTTTTGGCTTGGAAAAGTGAAGCACAAAATGTCTTGTGTACTAGAGTACAGTGCTATTTGGGTGTGTCTGTACTGTCCTGTGCCTGCATGTGCTGCCCCATAGGAGTTCAAAGCAGGCTTTGCCCTTTGCGTAAGGTGTTCTTAACTCAACTTATAATTAACTTGTGTATCTTGGCTGTTGTACCATCCTAGTTAAAAGCCTAGTTTCAAGACCACATACTACTTATGATAAGTCCAAGCTATGCACTTTCTTCAACCAGTATTTTACTGATTGTGTCTATCAAAATATTGTCAAACTTGAACTTCTTTGCACTCATATCATAGCACACAACGTGCAGTAAATGCCTTTGAGTTACTGTGTAAGGGCTGGAGCTTGAGCAGGTAACTAGGGCTCACAGGAGAGAGCAACTCATAGTGGCTGGTGGCTACTTCTCTGGACTTGGTGGGATTTGTTTTCCTTTTTCTTAGCAAATAGCTAGCACTTTCAGGGAAGGTTTTAGGTTTAGGGTTTTTGTATTTTTTTGTTGTTGTTTTAGTTTTGAGAAGCATTTGTTCCGCTCTAGTCTGTAGTCCATGAACTTCTAGTGTATGGAGGTGCTCTACACATTAAGGAGAAATTGGAGTGTACAGAGGACCATAGTTTCCGTTTTCTAAACAGAAGAAAAGTGCGATTTGAGTAGTAAACAAGATTCACTTTACTTCTAAAAGGAGATGATACTCCTTTGATGACAAATTATACTTAAGTATTTATTAACTATTTTATGTGATGGACTTTTAGTACATTGACATGTAACTTGACTTGTAACTCGTTCTGAATTTATATAAGGGACATCTCGGGGTTCATTAACCTCATGAATTCAACTCTCACACTATAGTAGGTGGGCAGCAGGGCTGTGTAGTCCTGCAAGAGAACTGAAACAAATCTGGGATGAACCTACAATGATCATGAGAGCCTGTGTGTATCTGTATGGGAAATCTGAAATGTACTCTGTAAATGTATTTAAAACACTTGGTTATGGGTAGAAAATAAGATTAAAGTGTGGATTTTGGATCTACTGAAACAAGTGGAAATACATGTGGTACTACCACAATATCAGTAGACGAGATACAGGAAGAAAAGGAGAGTGTTTACTAAGGCCTAACATGGTGTGATGGATTTACTACCTATCTACCTGTTGATAGGCACATGGCAGGCAGTGCCCTGGCACACAAAATGACTGCACATTGGGTTGAACTGGGTGTACCAGTGGCATTATTAACCAGTGTCTGCTCTAATGGAACAACCTTTTGTTCTGCTGAAGAAACAAACTAATGAACAGCTTGATGCCACGCTTGACCTACTGAATGCATGCTGTAGTAACCTGCCTTGGAAAATGTAGCTTTTCATATCCTTTCTTCTGAGTCAGTGGGATTCTGGTTTGAATGCAAGATTGATAAACTTTAAAATAATGAGAACTAGGAAAAAAGTAGTACCCTATTCCTGAAAGTAATCCTAAAGCATATGATGCAGTAATGCTTTAGTGCAGCCCCCCCCAAAAAAACAGTTTGTGATTCTTGTAATATGTAAAACTTTTTTCAAATAGTTACTGTGCTACTGTTCTAAACGTAATTATGCTGCTGGTAAAGATTGATTAATTACAGTGGAAACACTGTATTTTTCTCCTATGTAACTGGTTCATGTTTTATACAGAACAGTTTTTGCACATATAACAGACTATTGCAAGGAGAAAAAGTTCAGTTGACTCTGAAGAGAACACTAAAATTTGGATATTTGGACATGCATTCTGTGATTTCTTTCTAGAAGTAGATGCTGGTTAAATGTGGTATTTGCTTAGATACAAAACTGTGTCTCCTCCGGGACACAAGAGCAGGTAAATTTTTAATGTATAAAAACCAAACAGTTGTATGCATAAAGGCTATAGCGAACTTGAGGAAAAAAGAACCCGTAGAAGATCTCAGGAAGTAGTTTGTGCTAAAATATAAAGACAAGATCATTATTTAAAACTACATATTTACATTCAACTGCACTAAACAGTAAATTTATACTAGAAGCTCTTTTCTATCTTCTGATCCTTCATTTCTTCACTTAGCCCAAGTTGAAAAATTTTCTGGGTTAGGTTGAAGTTGAATTTGTGAAGTGCTAGTTGTATACAGGGATATGGGCACATAAAGTTAACATTGCTACTTTTATTACATAGATACAAGTGAAATGCAATACTATTATCAAAACATATTTGGTTGGAAGGGAAGCAACTTTGACCCTCTCTTTATTAAATAATAGGGACCCATTCCCTTAAACTTAATTAATTAAAATGAAAAGAAATTATTAGTGAGTTTGGTTCTTCCTGAACTTTGCCTTCTGAAAACTGATACATGGTGCTAATGTTGCGTAGTACTTTAAGCTCAAAAGTGAGGCTGTTCAGTGGGAACGACTTGTATGTCAGCTTTATCTGACTGTAGGTTGCTCTTTTGCATGGTTCAAAGACCGTGGGCCTTTAAAGAGTTGGAGCCAAGCAGCCTTGAGATCGGAATATCAAACTTCCTCTCTTCATTATGTATTAATTTAACCATAAATTTTCTTGGACTTAGTAAAGCACAGTATTGCACTAAGCAACCTTATTTTTTTCAGTGCTGTAGGAGCACAACTGCTATGGAACATGAACAAGATACAGGGGCTAGGAAAAAGAAGCATTTTGCTGCTCACCCTGGCGAAGTGGAGAGAAGTACTTTAAGAATTCTGTATTGTTGTGAATGGGGATCCAGAACTTGTAATGAAGTGCCCAATGTATGGCAGGTTGCAAGGCCAAGGTAGTAAACCATACCTATGACTTTGCTATAGCCAGAGTTTTGAAAGACTCTTCCCCCCCGTAACTCAAGCTCATCGTCTTTCTCATTCCAGGAGGAGACTAGTTTCTAGGAAGGACATTTGAAGAGGTACATTACTGCTTGCTGTCTGGTGCCCTCTTATGCTTTGTTTGTATAAAAAGCAGAACAGATTATTAGATTGGTTTTGTAGCCTGAGGAGTACACTGACACAGGATTCACTCTCTTTTCTTTGCTCATGGCATGTTCTGTGGCTGTGTGGTTAGAAACTTTTTCCAAGCTGGCTTCCTTTTCCAGTATCTGGTCTGTATTGTATTGACACTGTATTTGTATCAAGGGCAAAATGCAGCTTGGCTTTGGTCTTCCTTCAAAGGAGATATATAAAACTATGATGGGACACCTTCTAAGCAGACAATTCTTATCAAAGTATGTTTTGATTTCAAGTGCCTGACACTGGCACATCAAGCTTGTGCTAAATCATAGAATCATAGAATGGTTTAGTTTGGAAGGGACCTTGAAGATCATAGAGTTCCAACCCCCCTGCCGTAGGCAGAGACACCTCCCACTAGACCAGGTTGCTCAAAGCCCCATCCAGCCTGGTCTT